AGGTCTTGCTGGTAGCCCCCTACTGGCCCACCAAGACGTGGTTCTCCGATCTCATGCTCCTCGCGACAGCACCTCCTTGGCCTATTCCTCTGAGACAAGACCTACTCTCTCAGAGACGGGGCACTCTGTGGCACCCTCGTCCCGACCTTTGGAGGCTGCACGTGTGGCTCCTGGACGGGACGAGGCAGGTTTGAGTTCGCTGCCACCTGCGGTGGCGGCAACCATCACTTCCGCAAGAGCGTCGTCCACGAGACACCTTTATGCGTTGAAGTGGAACCTCTTCGTCAATTGGTGCTCTTCTCGCGGAGAAGACCCCCGGAGATGTTCGATCAGTGTCGTGCTTTCCTTCCTGCAAGAAGGGTTGGAGCGCAGGCTGTCGCCCTCCACCCTTAAGGTTTACGTCGCGGCCATTGCCGCTTCTCATGAAGCAGTGGAAGGTAAGTCCTTAGGGAAGCACGACCTGGTCATCAGGTTCCTGAGGGGAGCGAGGAGGCTGCATCCGCCTCGTCCTCCCCTCGTACCCTCTTGGGACCTCTCGGTAGTTTTAAGTGCTCTGCAGAGGCATCCCTTTGAGCCTTTGCAATCGGTAGAGTTAAAGTTTCTGTCCATGAAGACAGCACTCCTGGTTGCATTGGCCTCCATCAAGAGGGTGGGGGACCTGCACGCATTCTCCGTTGACGAAGCGTGCCTGGAGTTCGGGCCGGCTTACTCTCACGTGATCCTGAGACCCCGGCCTGGATATGTGCCCAAGGTTCCCACCACTCCCTTCCGGGACCAGGTGGTGAACCTGCAAGCGCTGCCCCCGGAGGAGGCAGACCCAGCCTTGGCACTGCTCTGTCCGGTACGTGCTCTCCGCACCTATGTCGACAGAACGCAGTGTTTCAGGACCTCAGACCAGCTCTTTGTCTGTCATGGAGGGAGCCAGAAGGGAAGGGCTCTCTCAAAGCAACGGCTGTCCCACTGGATAGTGGATGCCATTGCTTTGTCTTACCAGCAGCAAGGCCTTCCGTGCCCCCTTGGTGTGACGGCCCATTCCACTCGGAGTGTAGCCTCCTCTTGGGCTTTAGCGCACGGCGCCTCGCTAACAGACATCTGCAGAGCTGCAGGCTGGGCGACACCCAACACCTTCGCCAGATTCTATAATCTGCGAATTGAGCCGGTATCCTCTCACGTACTCGTTTCGGCCAGTTCTGGATCCGCTCATGTGTCTTCGCTTGCTCGCCACTCCACTCCCCGGACTGGATAAGTGCGATATTCCTCAGTTCTTCCATTGAAGCCTTGAGTCCTCCAGCACCGACGATGCGGGCACCACTGCTGTGGCTCTGGATGCTGGCTAGGTGCCTCCATGCGTACGGTTCCCCCTTGGTAACCGTCTCATGTGTATTATCCACTGTAAGCCTCTCTGAGCATGTGTCTTCCCTTGGCAAGCCATCTGCCACCCCTGGAGTTTAAACTAGTAGCCACCTGCGGTTGGTACTCCAGTGTTCCATATGCGTTCCTATGTGGCCATATGTGTATTCATAAGTCCTCCCTTCGGTAGGCAGCTGGTTGCATGTCCCCTTCGGGATATGTTTCCCAGTGTACCTTGGTAATCCTGTGTCAAAGTCGGATCCCCAAAAAAAAAAAAAAAAAAAAAAAAAGAGGTAAGGCTCGGGGGTTCAGTCTTTCGCAGGGCACTGGAAGACAGCTTGAAGATGGCGTGATGGCACAGACCCCCAATCTCCGTCACTTCTGACGTAACTCGAAGTGACTACGAAAGGGAACGTCTCGGTTACGTATGTAACCCTCGTTCCCTGAGTACGTTACGTCTCCCTGCCACTTCTGCTGTATCGCTGGGTAGATGCCGAGTTCAGTCTTGGCTCCTCAGCGAAGACATACTGCGGTTGCGTTCACTTCCTCCTTTTATACTCACGGAGTAGGGCGGAGTACGCTATGCAAATTTCCGCAGCCCCAAGGCATTGCATGCCATTGGCTCGTGTTTAAATACTCGAAGAGGATTGGCTTTCTATGCGAAATCCCCCAATCTCCGTCACTTCTGACGTAACGTCTCCGTTCCCTACTCAGGGAACGAGGGTTACATACGTAACCGAGACGTTTTCTTTGGAGGATTGACTGTGCTCTTCGAGCAGGGTTCTCAAGTCTCACGCAATGGCCGTGAGACACGCAATTCAACCAGTTCACACACTCATTTTTCACGCTGAAAAGGCAATGCCGAGCAATCCACGAAGTCACTCGCTACGAGTTTCGCCTTCTTGATGACATCACGCGCGCCGTTAAAGACGGCATGCGATGACTGGAAAGTGTAGTCTAACATGTGTCTTGTCCACGACACGACAAGATTTTAGGAGCCGAACATGCGTAATCTGACACAGTGGCTATCGTAACAGACAAAAAAAAATCATGTAATCTGAACCAGGCATAAGAATGGGCACATATCCAGAGGTACAGTGCCTGGTATGCAGTGGTCAAGAGATACTGCAAAGTACATCTGATAATGGAAGTCTGCTGGATCCTTCACAACCTACACCACCACTCAGATTTGCATGATTCATTTAGTGTACCAGGTGCAAAAACAATGCAGATAGCATATGCAAATTAATAAATGTATCAGGAGGTGCAAAACATTCCAAGTCAAATTTTGACAATTGGGCACTAAATACCCTTGACCAGAACTGTATATTTGTATATTTTGGTTTCAAAGCGATATTTATTAAATTAATATTCTGGGTTCAAAACAAATCGAGCCCAATCAAAGAGACCAGCACAGTGGAATATTATTGATTCCCACAAAAATGCATTTTGACTCGGCACTTACAATGTAAATGAATGAGGCCAGGACACCAAACGTTCCCACAAGCATAATAATACCAGTAAATGGTGATCTTGTGGGGACATCTATTTGGTCTCAATGAGAAAACAAACATAAATCATACAGAATTATCTTCTTTTTTTTTAAATCTAAAATAGCAGAAAGTTTGTAAAAGTACATAAAAACCATTAAGTCTATGGAATGACCATGTCAATCAGACGTGCTGAGTGGGTGGTTCTTGGCCAGATTAAGCTGCAAAATGGACCAGACTTTATGCCGACCTTAAAAGTCTGGTTTTGCGAGACTATACGTGTGACCTAGTGCATATTGAGATGCTTATATCACATCTGCTCTGAGCTTCATCCATTATGAGGGACCTTTATGTCAGAAGACTTACAGTGGCCTGTGAAAACGCCAGCTGTTGAAAGGAGCAAGGCTTCTCCTATTATAGAAGTCACACTGAGAAGAGTGGCTCGGGGGGAGAGATCACAGTCGTAATCTTTTGTCCTGGTTCGTGTCTGGATTTAGTCCAGTATGCTGTCACGGCCCACTGTGCCTCCACACCGCATGGGCACCATTCATACAAGAGTAAGCGAGAGTAAGCACTCACCTCAACATCTATCAAAAGCTGTCAGTCAGACTTCTCATAAAGCTCAAACCAACGCCTACCTCTCCACCTGTATTCATATTTATCTAAACCCCATAATCTCCCTGACATTCTCTCTTTTTCTTACTTTCAAATTTGTATCCCACTGTTTCTCTCTCCTCTCCAACTCTGTCAGTCTGCACCCCTCCGTTCCTTCTGAAACTCAGTGTTTGAGTGCTTTATTCTCAAGGAAGATTTTGCAGTTGTGCAATTCACCTTTCCCAGCATGCTCGTCGGTGAGCCACAGACTGATGGGGTCAATGAATTCTGAATTCGAATACAGAGACAGTCTTTCAAAATATTTGCACCTAGGCGAGAGCCAGACATTTGTTCCATTTTTCAAAACGGACATTAACATTTCACATTTGGTTGCCAAATTTCCATGCAATTACATTCAAATGACATCGAAATACGGGTATAACAATAACCTCCTGACACTGGGCTACATTTTGCCAGTAGCGATTACAAAAGCAACCCATTAAAGGTATTGTGCAACCTAAAAATGTCACCTATAGCCTTGAACATTGACAACTTACCGGCTCAAACCAAATCAACGCTGTGAAACATTACCCAAATTGACAAAAAGGCTACAATGTAGGACATCCATGTGAAACTGGACTATTTGAGAAAATAATAATGAATTAAACTATACTAGTGTTGTAGTCAAGACCACCTGTTTTGGTGCAAGGTGCACCTTGTTTTTCACCAAACTTTTTGTTGCTTACCGCCAAAAGGCTTTGAATATACCACACAAGTCACATGGCATCATTCTGTTATACTTTTGCGTCTTTTTAAAAAGCTTATTCACGGCAATTATCTTATATTGTTATTCTCATTTTATGAAGAAGGGCAACATCAGGGTGGGTAAATGATTACTTAATTTTTATTTAAGGGTGAATCCATTTAATATTCTTCTCACATACTGTAGTATACATGACCATTCTTTGCATAGCTGCATTTTTATTTTAGGAACACAATAATATCATCATTTTTTTGTATTTGAGGGTACTTGGAGGTTTTGAAACCCCTGTTTTAACGCAAAAGCACTGAAATAGAATATTTTCTCCCACTTCACCTATAGTACATACACTGCTGTATACGAAAAAACAACACGAGTAGTATATTATTTTCATTACATACTATACTCTCTCTTTTCATTTAAGTCCAAAGTATACTTTGGCCATAGAGTTAAAAACAAAAAGTCCACTAGATAGTGTGTAATACAGGGATCACATCTTTTTGCGCTCAAGGCCAAAGTAGAATACTTTGAAAGGCTCGACTGTGTGAGACGAAGCAGAACGTGGAAAATAAAGTGTACATGGGCCTTTATCTGCAGCCATTACCTGTCCTGATGGGTTATCCTAACTTCTATTCAAGCCAAATCAATATTCAGAGCACTTCTGTAGGTGTAGCACTGATCGATGCATGCATTTGCAAATAAGACTGTTCAGAACTTCATTTCCTCAGAGATCCAGAGACCCATTGCACAAAGATACCGGGCATTATGGTTAATTGAGGAATGCAGAAACGGCGTGGTCTTCTTACCATGCACGGGGCGTTCCGCAGGGGGTAGAAGAAAAGCGGGCTTCGCACCTGCGCTGACCCTCGCTGACCTTTGGGCTGAGTGTCGATGGCCAGCAAGGCCCCTGCCATACAGAAAGATGAAAGACATGAAACAAACCACCCAGAGGAATGATGAAAGACCGACTATAACCAGTTAAAAGCTTATAGTCAATCTTTAATAAAGATGATTTATTAACCATGTCTGCTTGAATAATTTCACTTTGTTTTTCCTTTTTTCACGGTTAACCCTGTGCTTGCAAGTATTTTTTGTTGATTAGACTTGAACTTAAGACGTTTAGGCAGAGCACCTGGTGATGGACAGCTGCTTCTGAGGCCTTGGGGAATGGACGGATGGGCCCTCCATTGCGGACCCCTTCCTGGAACCAGCTGCCAGCTGCAATCCTCTCTCCCGAACGAGCAATAGCTGCCGTTGAGGAACTGACCTGGTTGTGTGAGAGACTACAATGAGACATTTTGAGAATACAGAGAGACCTGAGAAAAAGAAAAGGATAAAGGTTACACTTTATTTTGATAGTCCACTTTAGACATTCTACTGACTATAGGTAACTTCGCAACTATGCTCTCAGAAAAAAGGGTACAAAAGCTGTCACTGGGGCTGTACCTTTTCAAAAGATACACTTTCGTACCTAAAGGCTGCATATTGGTACATATCAGCACCTAAAATGTACATCTTAGCACCTAAAATGTACATATTAGCACCCAAAATGTAAATATTAGCACCTAAAATGTTCATATGAACACCTGAAATGTACATATTAACACCTGAAATGTACATATTAGCACCCAAAATGTACATATGAACACCTGAAATGTACATATTAGCACCCAAAATGTAAATATTAGCACCTAAAATGAACATATGAACACCTGAAATTTACATATTAGCACACAAAATGTAAATATTAGCACCTAAAATGTTCATAATAACACCTGAAATGTACATATAAGCACCTAAAATGTACATATTAACACATGAAATGTAAATATTAGCACCTAAAATGTTCATATGAACACCTGAAATGTCCATATAACCACCTAAAATGTTCATATTAACACCTGAAATGTACATATTAGCACCCAAAATGTAAATATTAGCACCTAAAATGTACATATGAACACCTGAAATGTACATATAAGCACCTAAAATGTACATATTAACACATGAAATGTACATATTAGCACCCAAAATGTACATATTATCACCTGGAATGTAAATATTAGCAGCTAAAAGGTTCATATTAGCACTTAAAATGTACATATTAACACCTGAAATGTACATATAAGCACCTAAAATGAACATATTAACACATGAAATGTACATATTAGCACCTAAAATGTACATATAGCACCTGGAAATGGCCCCAGAGACAGCTTTTGTTCCTTTTTTTTTTTGTACATGTCAACTAACTGTCATTAGAGTATTAGTAAACTGCTAACACTTTATTTTGATGCTCCCCAACAGACAAACAGCATACTGACTGTAAGTAACTTGGCAGCTACTTATTCTACTGACCCGAACCCTAACAGTCAACTACTAATACTCTAATGACTACATGTAGTTGCAAAGTTACTTATAGTTAGTAGAATGTCAAAAGCAGACTGTCGAAATAAAGTGGAACCAGATAAATATGTACTAGCAATCTTATCCCTCAGCGCAAGAGCTTAGACACATTGATGAGAAATCGTCTTTGACCATTTTTAAATGTCTGAAGAGGCATAAGAGCGTAGTGAGGAGGGGGTTTCTGAGTGCAGACGAGGATATTGTTTTGAGGTAAAGGAAAAGAAAGGATGGGGGAAAAAGTGTGTAAGAAGGCAATATTAGAAGCCATTCCATCAACAGACAATTCATTCAAGCCTGTGGAGGGCTGCAGGGATGTGTCTGACCTTCATTAAGAAACACGGGGGGAAGAAACACGGTTGCCTTCCAGCGATCGACTGCATTACAGTGGATGGATTGCCTGATAGCATGTAACTTGCAAGCTTTGCTCCAGGTGTTCATACAATCCAGAGTTAGGCATTTAAAAGGATATGCTTCCAAGCGGTGGATGCATTCATGGGCACAGAGTGATTAAGGGAAAAGTCTGGTTAATAAATAAAGAAGTCAATTAAATAAAGAAAACAAAATGATCTTTTTTCCTTGTTTCAAGAGAACAATAAAAAATGTATAAACTGACAAATTCATGCTTTTCCCTGAAACAACCTTGCCTGAACCTCTTTTTTTTTTAAGACCTTGTGCGTCTATATCAATATTTTATTTTTTTTAAAAATCGAAAGATGAATTTTTTTTAGATTGTTAAGATCTGGCAGTAATAGTGTCCCAATTCGCCTGCATATACTATGCCCTAAAAGTACAGTATGTACTGTTTTTGTGAAGAAAAAGTACATATTTTTGAGTGTGTATCAGAAGAGTAGGCAAGCTTTGGGACATACTTTGTCATAATTGTGTCTTTAATGGATAGCTTTGTTACGTGCATCCTGTCACCGTTACTCATTACTATCCTCGTCCAATGTGCAAATGGATTTTGGACGATATTAGCCGTTAGAGTGTGCCCGGATCTGCACTTCGTATTCAACCCGGGAAAAGTAGACCACCCAGGCTATCTTTGGAATAATACTACTTATTGGGACACTAATTCTAATAAAAAAATTAATACCTAATTAATAATAATTAAAAAAAATGAAATAAAAAAAATGAAATTAGTAACTAATTTCAAATACAATTCAGGAAGGATAGTATGTGAATTGTGACAGAACTGATCTTAAATCTTTTGGTATTCCAATTTGATTGTTTGATTGATTGATTGATTGATTGATTGATTGATAAATAAACAAACAAGGAGTTGTATTTAAATGCATAAATAAATGATCGACAAACAAATAAATAGCAAGTGCATTCCAGTAATGCATATTTAGTGGGTAAAGCATTTTTTTTCCCCAGCATGTCATGTGTGGCGCTCCGTAATAAAAAAAAAGCAAAATATTAAACCTTAAAACAAGAACAAGGATGTTAAGATGACAAAATGAAATGACAACAAAACAAAACACATGATATATATATATATATATATATATATATATATATATATATATATATATATATTGCTATTATTTTGATTTTAGGTTAAGATATTACCCTGATCTTATTGATATACTTTATAAGATCACTTTTATGAAAATCTTAGGGTTAGGATAACTGTGTCCTGTGCAGATCTCTTCATCTCGTGTTCAAAAGTCGCTTTCATCTTAGCAACAAAGTTATTAAAGACACAACACGTTCTTGTTGTGCAAGTTAAATGTGCTGAACGAGTTTCGAAAAAGAGCTTGCTAATCAATATTAATATATGTGGTGGCATATGGAGCGTAATCAGTGACATTTAGCTTTGTTCTAACAATAAACAACACTCAGAATCTTGTTCAATCTCAAAACGTTGGCATTCTTTTTGGTCCAGAAGCACTGCAGGTGGACCCACAGACATTTGATTACTGCTTCTGCACAGTATTGATCGGAGAGGTGTGAGGGAGGATCAGCTAATCATCCGCTGAGGGGAGATGATACAGCCCTGAACTCACTGCCATTAACCAGGAGAGAGTAAACACATCGACCAGCGTGACCACACTCGTGAGGATTAGCATAGAGAGCAATAACAGGGAAAGAGAGAAAAGATGACAATGAAAATGTACGATTTGAATGACGCAGGATGAGATTGCGGTGCGAGGCGGATGGGATGGTCATGGATCAGGACAGTGTGAGCAGCAGATCTTTGAGGAAAGAGGAGTTCCACTGCACATGAAGCAGCAGGGAATGATAGGTAAATGTGAAGGCATCAGACAGAGCAATTGATATTGAAAAAACTAATAATACAGAGGAAAATGGGCTAAATAGATATGTAATATGACCTGAAATTGCTCAGTGGTAAAGTGTTTAAAAGCACAATGTTGCTCTGATGTTGTGACTGAAATATGCTGCTAAAACTCCCAATTCAGTGAAACGAATGGAAATGTCTTCTAATGCAGCAAGCACAAGTACGTATGTTCACCTCATCCCACTAATTTACATGTATTTTCAGCTCTGCTAATGTTATTAGGCTTGACAGTTGAATAAATTGCAATTTACAATATCCTTACAAAAAGTACTGTGGCAGTAACATGGTGCACGAATCTGGTCGTACTACCATAGTATTTATATACTGCCATACTGTATATAATTTCTACTACAGGGCTGTTGAATGCTTGAATCTAATTGGTTGACGAACATTCTAAGATGTGCAATTATTTTCTGGGAACAGCATGGCTAAAGTAGTTCCCGGCAGGTCTTGACAATATTATAGTTCCATATCAATTCGCCAAATTATTTCAAAGGTTTCAGCCTGTTTCGGCCACTTAAAAAAAAAAAAAAAAAAAAAAAAAAAATCAGAATATTTTTTTTTCTGACACAATTACTAACTATTTCGTTAGCAATTGCATGATATAAACTTGCAATTGCAAGCTATAAAGTCATAACTGTGAGATATAAATTGCAATTCTGAGAATGTTTTTTTTTATGTCAGATTATAAGTAACAATTACGAGTACATAGAAAAAAGTCAGATTTGCAGATAAAAACTTGCGATTGCAAGGAGAAAAGTCAGAATTGCGATATACAAAACACTTGACATTGAGAGAAAAAAAAGTGAGAATCTCAAGTTTATATCTCACAATACTGACATTATAACTCGCAATTGAGAAAGAAAAAAAAAAGAGTCAGATTTGTGGGATTAAAAAAGATTTAAAGGGATTACATTTATTCCATGGAGGAAACAATCTTCCATATATCAGCCATTATTCCAAACTATAAACATAGTTAATTATATCCAAAATAAGAGATAAGTTAATAAGCGTAAGACAAATAAATCCTTTATACATACATATATTAGGGCTGTCAAATGGTTAATCATGATTAATTGCATCCAAAATAAAAGTTTGTGTTTACTTTGGTGGTGCACTGTGTATAATTATTATTATACATATATAAATACACACACGCTTGTATATATTTAAGAAATATTTTCATGTATATACAGATTTATATATAATTTATATTATATATACACTCTAAAAATCGCTGTGTTGTTTTAACCCAACTTTGGGTCAAATATGGACAAACTCAGCCATTGGGTTACATTTTTTTAATTACATTTTTAACCCAATGTTTGAGTTTGTCCATATTTGACCCAAAGTTGGGTTAAAACAACCCAGCATTTTTAGGGTGTACATATAAATATTTTTTATAGAAATAATATTTTTTTTCTTAAATATACATGCACATGTGAGTATTTATATATATATATATATATATATATATATATACAAAATAACTATACACAGTGCACCCACATATGTTATGTTAACACAAACTTTTTATTTTGGATGCGATTAATTGTTTGACAGCCCTAATACACACACATAAATATATATATATATATATATATATATAAGGTAACAGTACATGGGGTTAGAGGTTAGAGTTATCCCATTTTTTGTATTCTTTTTAGAGAAAGAGTGTGTCTGGGATGACACTGGCCACTGAGGCAGAACAACTCATTCAACGTCCAATAAACCCAACTTCTGTTATATAATGGGCAAGCACACGCTGGCTTCATAACAGAGTGACTGCTGACCTCCTGAGGCCCCGTCTGCTGTCTCGTCCTCCAAATGGACGCCACTAATACTCACGGCAATGTTCTCCCTCATCGTCCCCTTGTGGACAGTCAGGGTTGAAGTCACACAGCTGGCTCACGCTGATCTCGCGACCCCCTCTGCAGTGATAGCGGCCCCGGAGAGTGACGTTCTGAGATGTTCCTGAGAGGAGAAAGACAAGCGACACTAATTACAGAGACGTCTCTCCCGAAGGAACCAAGGTTTAAATTCCTCAAGGGCACAATGCTGATAAAGCAGAATTTCAATCCCAGTAACTCTGATACCAGGGTCACCCCTGCTTAAGATTTGCACAAGCAGCGCCGATCATTGCCATTAGCCCACCTTTACCCCATTTTCCTCCTATATCTTCTTTTACAACCACAGGTTACTCCGGGGAGGTTTACTTTATGTCTTTCCGATTGACTTTCCCGCCAAGAAAGTAAATCAGAGAGTTACATTAAAAGCTTCTATGCAAACAAACACAAAGACATCAAGTAAATTCAGCACTTTGTGAAACTAAATGAGGCAGAAAGAAGACATAAAAGAGGCAACGGCTCTCAGCAGTGTCTTGTTTTTATGGCTTCACCGACAGGAAAGGATACCGACAAAGGCTATCAACAAATGAAAACACAAAGAGCTCTTTCCTGTCCGCTAAAGATACAATAGACACTCTAAAAAAAAATGTGTTAATGTAATGAGAACTCAAGCACAGCTCCGAAGAGATAACATTTAAACATGAACATATACCTTGTTTTGTGGGACGAGATATGGATCATAATACAATGGCGCCATATGTATTTTTTTCTCTCTTCTTTTTGCATACGGAGCGCTAGCTTAACACGCTTTAGAATATGTAGGACGGAACAATGGCCCAGATAAGTAGCATGTGGCGAATGGATTTATGATAGCATCACAGCGAACACGACGAGATGTAACCGGGGTTTGCATATCTATGCAAATGGAAGAGCTGTACAAACGGGCCGCGGCTCACCAGGGGTTCATCAGACTGCTGACAATGATGAAGAGAGTGATTGTACAGAGAAGAAAAAAAAAATACGCTCACTGATGTGATTCGCCTTACTTCCGTCTTTAAAAACATGGGGAGAGATGTGATTTTATCACTGGCGGCTACAGAGGCGGAACACACCCTTGATCTGAGTGGAGACAGATTTTGTTGCGAAGACACATGACAAAAGATGTTTATCTGAGATGATAATGCTTCAGTCACTTGAAATCATGTAACTAAATATCCAACATTTGGTGTAGGTCTTTCTAATATTTTAGCAGTCGATACAAGTTGAATTTGTTATTCCAAACGTGTATGAACATCTTTCTTCTGTTGAACACAAAAGAAGATATTTTGAAGAATGCTGGTAACCAAAAAGTCAATGGCTACACTTTAAAAAATGCTGGGTTGTTTTAACTCAATTTTGGGTCAAATATGGACAAACTCAAACACTGGGTTATAAATGTAATTTAAAAATGTAATCCATTGGCTGGGTTTGTCCATATTTGACCCAAAATTTTTTTAAGAGTGCATCGTCACCTGTCTGGTTACCCTTTTTTTTTTTTTTTTTTTTTCAACATGAGAAAGAAATTGCAGGTTTGGAATAACATAAGGGTGAGTTGATGATGACACAATTTTTGGGTGAACTGTCTCTTTAACCTTCAAATGGTCTTGGTTTCCTGTTTACACTTCTGGGCTTCGGGGTCTATACGACCCCAACAATTGATTGAGTAATTGTACAAAAAAATATACATTTTTAATCATACAAATAATTTACCATTTTTTTTGTGTTTACTTCTCATCTATTCATTAATGCTGCGTTTTTGGAGATATAAAGTACTTTTGTATCCATATACCACACAATTCCAAGCCAAAACTACACCATTGGCTTGCATATTAAATATATATATTTTTTTTTGTTTATGATGCATTGCATTTATGCTCTAGTACTAAGCCTTCATTTCTGTGTAAAAATTTTCAGATTTATGCCGGATATTTTTTATTTTTTTTTTTATTTTTTTTACACATGAAGAAAATATTATTATTTTTTTTTTTCCACATTTCCCATTCATTTCAATGTGGGGTCATATAGACTCTGAAGACCAGAAGTGTAAACCTTTTTTTACATACAGTACTTCAGAACAACCGAATCAAGCCCAGTTTTTGTGTGTGTGTGTGTGTGTGTGTGTGTGTATAGATAGATAATGTATGCAAAGTCACAAAATCTTATTCAACTGAAATGAAGGGAAACTTTTTTTTAATTAAGTAAAAGTTGATTGGGGTTGTATAGACCATATGACAGGACTTAGGGCTACTACAAGTGAGACAGATTATTTTGTTGCAATGACTTTTTTTTCAGTTATTTAAACCATGAATTAGCATTCTATGAACCAATCACATACTTAAAAGGGTAAATATGTGATGAATATTATTTAAAAGTTGAAAATTGTTGCTGTTACTTCAATGCTTGGGGAGGTACATGAACGCTGCTTTTATTTCATCGAGTGCGATAATGACCACAGGCGTTTACTACTCCCAGACCCTGTCCTCATTAAATATTTCGATTCAATCATTAAATCGAATCGATTGAGATTTGAGACTACTGAAGTAGACAGCTAACACTATCCTGGTCTCTGGGTCTGTAAAGGTTGAGAATGATTGCACTGTATGAATTTTGACGCCGCAGCAAAAACACAACTACAACAAAGTATTTAAAATACGGTTAAAGTACTGCCGAATGTAGGCTACTTAAAAGCGTTTCTGCTAAACTAAAACCACTTAACTGTCACCGTCCCACAGGTGGGACGTTTGCCACTATATTTTTAAAACAATAATATCTTAGTAAATACCTTAAATAATATTGACAAACTATATATCATTTGAAAGCTTACAATCTCTAGTTTCCATATTTGGTGACTGATTTTCAAAATATATTACAGAGGAGCCATAATTTATCAATATAAAACAAGAATATTTTCATACTCATAAGGCGTGTTCAGACCTTTATTTTAAAATAGCAGTAAACATGAAAAATCATGAAAAAATGGTAGATACCTCAGTTTGTTTTCATGCCAAAAGTTCAAAAGATAGAATCCATTCAATTATTTTGGAAAAAAAAGGTCTGAAAAGTTTAAAATATCAAGAAAAAAAAAAAAAATTCACCATTTGTGACGTGGCAGCTAGCTATGACTTACATGCGTGTTCTTTGTATGTGTTTCTTAGAGGTTCAATTCATATCAAAATCTGCCAAACTTCCCATGCTACTTCTGAATAGGATCTCTACTTCAGAAATTGTATGAAAATTGTGAAAATAATGGTTCATATCACTCAAAACACGAATGGAAATGCAGGCGCCCTTATATAATGGAGTCTGATTGTGCCCTAGTGAAAAAGTTTGGTACTGCGCTCAAACAAAATCTTACTGAAAGCTCATTTTTTGAGATATCAACCTAAAATTTGAAACACAACTTGTTCAGATTTTTGGCTTTGATCTTTCTGACATTTTAGAGTAGCCCAGGTTTTGAAAATATATATTTTATGTAAAATATGAATAATTAATATTTTTACATTGTACATTTCCATAAACTCAAACTTCTATAACTTTTTTTCTGTTTCACTTTCTTAATTTATTTCACTTCTACAAAAATCTGCCAAATGTCTTCTTTAAAACAAGACCAATCATATGTCTATATTCCAAAGCATTCTTGAATTACAACCATTTAAGTTCGAAATGTGCATTTTCATGTCTATTCAAAAAAAGGGGGGGGGGGGGTGACAGTTAACAGGTTAATGTCATTTCTACTGAAACTTGCATGTCATTTATTAAAATGTATTTGTAATGATAAAGTTGCAATTTAAAACATTTACAACATAATATAAGAACATTTAGAACACACTATAGTTATACAATTAGGATACAGTATTTTAAAAGTTATTTAAGTTTGGCTTAAAATGTACAATTTTAAAAAATAATATTATAATGCACTTTTTTTAAAAGAGTCCTTAAGTGTGTTTAGAAGCAGTATTCTCTTAAGTGGCATGGTCTAGGTTTATACTACAAACACATTATTTTTCACAAAGAAATAAAATGACACATTAAATTCAGGGAACCAAAGGTAAGATTTGAATAACTGTTCTCTAAATCCATCAAACACTTATTGAATGGATGCACATGTATCAGCTTGTCTATGGTAGTTGACCTGGGCTGCAACAATTACAATTCCTGGTAAAAGAGATGCTGAGTGAATGAGAATTTGTTTTTGTTTTTTTTGTTCATTTACTCTCTTTCACTGTCGGCTTGATCGGCCATTTTTTATAACCCACCTGACTCGTTTTCGTTTATCTCCTGGTCACATTCAAATTGCAGCCACATTTACTTTAACACGCATTGAGCAAGAACCATCAGTAGTAATGAATAGCCCTGCTTCACATCTCAGCACGGTACCCTTGCTAAACAAAACAAAAAAAATAGTATTTTTAATCAAACACTGTGAAACAAAATTCGAGGAGGTGTTAATAAACCAATCTGCTCTGATGCAGCTCGGCTTTGTGGTGAAAGAACAAAGATGTGATGGATATGCTGGACTAGCGTCAGTGTGCGAGTGCTAAAAGGCTTTAATTATTGTACGGCAGACATTTGACAGCCAGCCGTAACAGTGAGTCATATCACTGGCGGGAAAACATTCATATCAGTGAGCTGAAAGCTAAGCTAAGATAAAAGATGCTCAATCTGTCACTGCACATGGGGAAAAAGCTTAATGACCATCATGGAGGTTCACAGGCTCTGCGGCACAACTGCTAACCCTTGTAAACACTGCATGGAGGATGTGCTGTCACCAAAAATCAGGCTCGGAAATATTGTTTACGGTACAAAGATCCTTCAAGGTCAAGTCACACATTTCAAGCACGCATTATAATTGATAAAATGATTGTTTTCATAATCGTGCATACAAATCCCTGCATTGAACGAAAGCTGAAGATTGACATTTTTCAATTAAAAGAAATACTCCTTGTGTACAGTATAAAATGTTTTTTTTTATTTGAATGTGATTTAATGATTCTTTTATAAAGTATTTGTTTACAGTGAATGTAGTCAAATGAGCTCAGAGCTCCAGTTGTATTCAAAGAGGAACTATTTGTAGTCATTTTTATACAA